GACACTTTTCTGTAAATTTTAGTGCGGAGTTAAACTGATTGGAAAAAAAACAAGACACAAAATATAAAATGTGCCATAATTTTTGCACTGGCCAAATGTTATGTTTTATTTTTTCACCAAATAAACAAATAATAAACAGTAATTGTGCATTGAAATGTGTAGAAATGTGTCCTCTGCACAGGATGTGTACATATTTTCTCAATCAACAAAACATGTAAAATGCATATGACTGTGCAAGGATACTATGTAATACTAAGTAATACTATCCTTAGTAATACTAAGGATACTGCATGAACATATACAAGGATACCCACTAAACTAAACTTTTTCCATTCCCATACTCCCTCAGACATTAAACCTCCTGCTGTGTACCCCCTTTCGCTTCTTATATATATATTCTTTGCCTCTATATATACATGGTGCAATGACAACATATCAGATACAACAGATATTTTTGTTAATGTTTACCTTAAAATGAATAACACTTAATAAATAAATAATTTTAAGGATGTTTCTGTTCTACTGTACTCTAGGTGTGGGTCACTATAGTTCCTGTCAGAGCTCAGGGTGACAGAGTAATCATAAAGGCTCAGCATTAATATGAGGGAACATAGACTCACCCAGCACTTTATTAGGAACACCTGTACACCTACTCTTCTGCAATTATATGTTGAGCCAATCATGTGGCAGCAGTGCAGTGCATGAAATAATGCAGAAATGGGCCAGCAGCTTCAGGTGATGTTCACATCAACCATCAGAATGGGGGAAAAATGTGATCTCAGTGATTTTGACCGTGGCATGATTGTTGGTGCAAGACAATTGAGTATGTCTATAACCGCTGATCTCCTAGGATTTTCACACACAAAGCGTCTGTAGAGTTTTTCCACTCAGAATGGTGCAGTAAAGAAAAAAACTGTAAGTGAGCATGGGTTCTGTGGACAGAAATGTCTTGTTGATGAAAGAGGTCAATGGAGAATGGCCAGACTAGTTTAAGCTGATCAAACAGCTATGGTAACTCATATAACCTCTCTGTATAAATGTGGTGAGCAGAAAAGCATCTCAGAAAGCACAACACATCGAACTTTGAGATGGATGGGCAACAACAGCAGAAGACCATGCCGGGTTCCACTTCTGTCAGCCAAGAACAGAAAACTGGGGCTGCAGTGGACACAAGCTCACCAAAACTGGACAGTTGAAGATTGGAAAAATGTAGCCTTGTCTGAATCTCAATTTCTGCTGAGTCACACAGATGGCAGAGTCAAAATCTGGCACCAACAGCATAAATCCATGGACCCAATTTGCTTTGTGTCAACAGATCAGGCTAGTGGAGGTGGTGTAATGGTGCAGGGAATGTTTTCTTGACACACTGGGTCTGTTAATACCATCATCATTCATTGCTTGAATGCCACAGCCTATTTGAGTACTGTTGCTAACCACGTGTATACCTTCATGTCCACAATTTACCCATTCCCATGCCTTCCCAGTCACCAGATCTGAATCCAATAGAACACCTCTGGGATGTGGTGAAATGGAAGATTCACAGAATGAAAATGTACCTGAAAGAATGGACCAGAATCTCAAAGGAATGTTTTCAACATCTTGTGGAATCGATGCCATGAAGAATTGAGGCTGTTTTGAGAGCTAAGAGAGGCCCTACTCAGTATTAGTATAGTGTTCCTAATAAAGTGCGGTGAGTGTATGTGTAAGAGAGTCTGTGGCTGAAAATAGTAGCATCATCCACTCAGAATATAACAGCACTACAAACACTTAAACAAAATGCTAATAGCTAAGCACTAATCATAGCAGCTACAAACTAAGAATTCACCAAAATTACGATCCAAACCACGTCTCCAAAAGTGTCCGAAAGTGACTCAAACTAACTCCATTGCTTGACTAACAAGCATCATGCAGACCATAACAACATTTAGTAAAGAATACTCACTTCATTCATGCACACACCAGTGCACTATAAACTAATTTAACTGTGCTGTTTTTAGTTTCTCCTGAATGTGCTGCACTCAGAAGGAAACACTTTCTCTTCTAATAAGCTTTTATGATGAAAGAGTTTGTCATGTGCTGGTTATCAGTGTTATCAGGGCTTTACTGATGGGATTCCAAGAGCTCTGGTGACGCATGCCTTCGGCACTGACAGGTTGGAGTGGTTGATACTGCACCAGAGGGGGGCGCCCAGGAGTGATAAAATTTGTGAACCCTGAGCTGATACCATGGTGGGAACACTGCACATTAACGTAGATTAAACGAAGATTACCAGCGTATTTTACTGCTTGTACGATGTGAGGCATTGCAGCACTTTTATCTCATTTACATGCACCGGTAGCAATTCATAACATGTTACAATCCTGCAAAAAATAAGCCTGAACTACTCTGGTGGTAATTTTCCCTGGTAAACCTTGTAACTGCTGCTCTAGGAGTACATAAGGAGGAAGACGACTAGCAGATTGACAGATTTAACTGGCACTGTACTAAAAACAGCCTCTTCTTCCTGTGGCAAATTTGATGTTTGGCGAATCCCCCTGTGTTTAGCTTGTAACCCAAATAAGTGAAGAGTAATTTGACATGTTGAGATTCTAATTACATTGAATTGATTTCTTTGCAAGCAGTTTTAGCTTTTAATGCTGTTTTTCTATTTTCAACAAATTTTACAAAGGAATTAAATTCACACGTGAAAATTATATTTTTAGTAAAAAGCAAATTTTTAATAGTCAAAATTTTTTATTTACTGATGTAGTTTTAATTTTCACATATGCACACTGAATTCTTGCTAATTAAAAAAGCTTGAATTTTTAGCAGTGAGAAATGACATTTTACGTCCTAAAATATGCACTGGTGCACTAATCACAACCACGGTAACTTTATGAATTAACTTTATGAAGTCTTTCTTACCGTGCCGCACGGTGTAGCATTGTCACCACCCAATTATAGGAATCTGGCCCATAAGCACAAATTTGAAGCCACAGCTGTGTTCTTTAAACAAAAGTTAAAATCATCTTACTTTTGCTGCATGGAATGCTGCATGGTCTGGAAGATTAAACTGGAGGGGAATGTAAACTGGAGAGGAATGCACATACATACTACACACTAGGGCTGGGCAATCTCGTCTGGCTGGTGCTTGCAGAATCACCAAAAACCAAACCTCTCTAACACACCAGAATTCAAATGCATACACACACACATACAAATCCCCAGCCGGAGTGACAGAGATTCCCCCTACAGCGTGTTTGCTGTTTGAATTATCTGCACCAGCGACACTGATTCTGACAAATGCGTCCAGGGACATCCCCGAGCTTGGCCATTCTGGTGCTCAGGAAATGTCCTGTCTCTCTTCATTACACCCCTGTTACCCACCCCCACACACACAGCGTCTCTGTCTAACACCCTCTCGCTCCTGTACACAAATGCACACATACCTGAAACCTTCTCAGGTGCATTTATATGTGTGCATGTATGTTGTATCCAGATGGCCCAGCTTTCTCTCGCTCTATTGAGGACCTGAGAGTGTAAAAGGCTCTGCAGGAGACTGGTACACTGCTGCTGGCTCATTTAGTGATCTGCCACTTTACACTTCCTACCAGCCTCTCCCTAGCTAACCCACACTTTCCTTTCAACAGACTACAGGCTGCAGAAACATGGCCATGGCAAACAACAAGCAACACAAATACAAGCCTGAGAGAGAAGAAAAAAAGCGTCAAATTGCGTTCACAAAGAGTCCACCCTCTCTCCTCTCTCTACCTGCTCATTTGACGCCATTCATTTCTAGCAGTGTGCTGTCAAATCTGTTCGTTATGTGCAAGCGCGGTTAAGCTCCCTGTTGAGACAGTCCCTGTAGATCCCCTTTTCTTCTTATCTCTCTCCACACTTCTTTCTCTTTCTCTTGTGTTTTTTCTCTCTCTCTCCCTAGCCCTGTTCTTTAAAGTAGCAATGTGCACTGCATGGGTTTGAAAAATATAACAAGGCAATTAAAGTTCTCCAGGAATAAGAGAATTAAATAGTTTTTTAAAGAAGTAATAATTATAATTAACCCATGTACTGTTCTCTACTGTCAACTGATTAAAGTCAATGTATTCTGTAATCTTTTTTCAGGAAGGGAGCCCTAAGCCTTGAAAATGATTCATTCTACCCTCTTTTTTTATTTATTTGTACACGATTTTTCTCATCTGCTTAGTCATGGCCAATAGACCTTCATTCTGTAGTTGATGCCACGCCCCTATTAGGAACTCCAGGTCTAAGCCAGATTTGCCATTGGGAAAAAGACACTACTGTCATAAACAACTATGTTCCACACCAATACAGTTTGCCGTACAACATTTTTCCTCTGAATTGCTGGATCCTCTGAATTCTGACACAAACCAGCAAGCTTTGTAAAATGTGATAGTTGGCAGCAGTAGCTTACAGTGTGATTAATTTGTGTTGTTATAAAAATAGTGTTTAAGTTAGCCCCTTAAAATCCCATGCTTATTATATACTTATTATTCAGTAACTACAGGGACTTCAATGCAACCTAGTTGAGCTATTCTTAGGTTATAGAAGTGTGTAATGAAACTTTGGGCCCCCAAGTGGACCCTGGCTACTGAAGGGGTTAAATAGTAGACTTCCTTTTGTACAATGTCATTTCAATGTGCAGGAGGGGTAGCTTGCTTTAGAATATATGCAGCATTAATCATGGTCTGGCCTCATAATTCAGAGAATCCAGCGACGTTCTGGGGGAATATATATGTAAGACAAAATGCATCTGGTTTGGAAGCATTGTTTACCACAGGACACAATAGTATCAATTTTTAAAAAAATGCCATTTCTTCTCTGCTTAGAGGAGCTTGTAGAAGAAGTAAAGCATGTAGTTTAATAAGTTAAAAACTTTCTTTTAAAGTGTAGACACTGGGGTCCTGCATAAAAGGGATCCAGATTCCTCTCTTGTGGACTAAATGTTGTACTGATGTGGATATGTAGGACACTTATGCTTTTTGTCCATTTGTTTTCCTCAGGTGGTGGACTTGTACTGGGGGGTTGACCCAGAAGAGTGGGACAGTCCAGAACTACAGAGACTGCGGATGAAGCTTCTGGAAGAATGTCTGAAAACGTCTGCAGGTCCATGCTTTGTTGTGGGTATATATGACTTTCTATCCACCCTTAAAAATGAAACATAAAACATTTGTACACATTATACCTCAGAGCACATTTGTATTCCTTAACTGTGAATACTCAATTTTACCTTAGTCATAAGGCCTAATTACCCAGCCATTGTTTTATATAAAACTGTGATTGGGTAACTAGCCCTTATAATAAAAGCACTTTTATATAGACATTGTAAATGAAACTAATGTACCTCATTTAAAACACCCCGCAAAAGCGAATTAAGCTTAATATACTGTCATCTAAATGTATGCCTTCATTCCAGGATGAAATTAAGCACAGCGTGTGTTAATACAGTATGCTTAGCTACCGTTTTTGTGAATATGGAGATCGATTACATTTATTTGCTTCTCTTATCTTCATGGCTGTTTGCCCACATATAGAGAAATGCAATAGATGTACATTATGAATAATGATTCTTCTGAAATTAGGCATACTAATAGGGAGTTTGTACTAGATGTTGGCACATTGCTGTGAGAATTTGACCACATTCAGTCACAAGAACATTAGTGAGGTCGGGTACTGATGATTAGTTCTGGATCACTCCAGTACTCATCTCAAAGGTATTGGATGGAGCTCCATCACTCCAGAGAATGTAATTCTCCACAGCCTAGTGCTGAGGGGCTTTATACCCCTCTAGTGCATCCTTGACATTGGCCATGGTGACCTTAGGCTCATGTGCTTTTGCTCCAGAGCATCCCATTCTATTAGCAAAGCTTTTCTAAGGAGATTGTACTGTACAGAACTGAATGTCTGTGTTAGCAATGGGCGGACCTTAAATTAACTGAGTTCACTAAACAGAAAGGGTGTCTGCATAAATCTAGGTAAAAGCTCTGTGGCATGATGATAACATGCAAGTTTCTTTTCATTTAAGTGGAGCTTAGTATTACAGACAGGCCCTTTAGGAGGCCCATATTAGCAGTGCATCACTTTAGTTCACTCATTCTGTGCAGCATGCATACACACAGACACACATGTACAAAAGTGATCACAGCTTCAGGTTTTGAAATTGAGAAAAGATCAATAAAACAGAAGCACACAAATACAATAGAGCTGGCCCTTAAGTGAATAATTTGATGTCACATTACAAAAACATTGTGATACTCTACAGTACTATGTAAAAGTATTACGTTAGCATCCCTTCCCCCCAACATGAGGGCTCACAGTGTTTTTATGCAGTCATAATTTACAGGTGTGGTGCACAATCAGGCAAATGAAAAGTTCCTCCACACTATCTGCAGATCTGATGGCAGCCTGTGTGACCTCCATTTCAGAAGCACGGTCCACCAGTTAGAGTGCTAGCTATAGGTTAAGGATAAACCTATCGGACACGATATGGTCATGATCAACGTGCCATGAGATGAAAGTCTGAGTTCTCAAACAATAGCTGCAAAATCTAATTAGATCTCCAAAATGATTGTTAAACAGACTTTTTAGACTTTTTACTCACTATTCAGAGGGTGGTCGGGAAGAGTGAAGTGGTCTGTTTTTCTTCTGGGGGTGGAGGGGGGCAGATCACACTGATCCAGCCTACTGCGTGTACCATCTTTAGCATCATTGATGCTGTCACTCACCACTGCAACTGGTGCTGGGTTGCCCCACTGTCCATCATTATGTGATCTGACACGCCCACACAGTTCTGAGCTGGAAGCAGTGTGGAATTTTTGAATCATTTATCTACTGTTTGAGTAATTAATGTGTATGTATTTCTTGAATATAACACTGGTAAACACTTTTTCTACAGCATATCTTTACACAGAATTTTCAATATTCAAACCCATGTTGACAGGGCATTAGCATGTGCAAGTTAATAGAGCAAGATTTTTTCATCCAAGTGATTATGGACCATTTCTATTGGTCCATTCATCCTGAAATGTTCACATAATGTAAAAGTCAGATGGCTGTGTAAGTGTTTTTGTGGGTGGTGTGTTCTTTTCTGGAAGAATACTTTCACTTGAATATAGATTTTTGGTATTCTTTCCGCCACCGGGGTGTGTGAGCGCATGCATTAAGACGACACAATTAATTGTATGCTAATCGAAATCTGTCTCTGCAATTAACGTGTTCTTTTAGCAGCGTGCCTGTTGCATCGTAATGGAGAATTTGTAGTTAAGAATGGAGCTGTTCATCAAACCAGTGTTGAGACAAGCCACAGGAGTGTTCTAGCCAATCTCACATGTTGCTGTTCAGCATCTGGACAAATCCCAGGTGCGGTACACAGCCTGATGAACTGGAGGTATTTCAGGAGAATGTGCTGCCACAAGTACCAATCATTGTCCTTCACATTTAATAATGGTAATCACAATATCACTGAGGAAAAAAGGAAACAGTTTTATAATAATCAGACTGCTGTAGGGTGTGTAGGTGTGTGTGTGTGTGTGTGTGTGAGAGAGAGTGTGTGTAGTCCTGACCGCTTTCAGGTCTAGTGCAGAGGATAGATCAGTGCTCAGGTGTGGATGAGATTGATTTTAAATGATTAAAATGTAAATGAGTGATGTAGGTGAGGGGGAAGAGGATAATTGGAGTCGGAGAGTGAAGTGGGAGGTGAGGCTTAGAGAGTGAGAAACAGAGCAGGGAATACTTCTCTCTCTCTCTCTCGCTCTCTCTCTCTCTCTTTCTCACCCACACATTCTCTGTCTACAGTCCTATTCGAGCTGGATTACTTTAACCTGAAGAGAGACTATAATAAGTGATTACCGAGATCTGAAATTTAAATCCAGTGTGAATCTGTAATGTCTGTAGTTCTTTGAGTCTGACTATGATAATTCTGGGGTAATTTACCTTCTCTAATTCACTGAACCTGCAGATCCCTCAGTAATAGTAGCTCTGTTATTGTTCTTCAGCAATAAAGATAAAGGGCTACTGGAGCTGGATTAGTTTTACCTGGGACATAATTTAAGTGAATACTTTCAAAATCCAAAATTTTAATCCAGTATGAATCTGTAATGTTCTTAGTTTTTACAGGTTTGACAGCAATAATTCTGGAGTGAATGACACTCTCTAATTCGTAATAAAAATGCACAAATACACATCCACACTTCTGTTTTTGAGACCAGAAGAGAAGACACATATAATAGAACACAATTTGACTTCTTTATCCTCAGTTCATATCTGCTGTAAACTGCAACATTTATGCGTTTTCTATTTATTTTTCGTTGCTGGCCGTGCTCCGTGTTGTTATTGTCAGTGAATCTGGCACTCTGTTGTGTAAAGCTCCACCTACAGGTGCATTCTTTCATAGATACTGTAGCTAGGTGGGAAAATACTGAATGTTGGCTTTCAAGATAACAAGTAATTAGTGAACAACTAAATTTTGGCATCTTGATTTTATTGACTTTTCATGTAATCATGCTAATGTTAGCATGATGGCAAATTCATTAGCGTGCCTAGTTTTGATTAGGTTAAACATAGTCCAGTTGGCTAGCATAGCATTTAAAACAGTCCATATCATGGAAAACATGTAAGACTTCCTTGTAGTGAACATAAATATTGGAATTTCAAAATGTACCGTTCACTCCTCAGTCCATATAGTCCATAGACAGAAAACAGCAAAAACAGCCCAATATGAATCCATTGTTTTTATGATGTCACATTATGTCATTTATCTATACTCATCTATTCAGCCTACAGCAATTTAGCTCTGCCCCTTCACAATGAGGTTATGATGAGTGTTTCAGTCTGGATTACTTTTTGAATGAGACAAATTACAGAGCAGCCAATCAGAACAGAGGCAATTTACATAAATCAGTCTTAAAGGCACAGTAATAAAATCAGTCTATTTATTTCTAACGGATAAAGATAGGTTGGAAGATGGTCATATGAAATTAATTATAACTGTGTTTGGTAGCAAACTTGCAAGATGCATACTTGGATAAATTACACAAATACTTTAGTCATGCTAATATGAGTCAATCTCCACAAATTAAGTTAAAATAATCGAGCTCAGTGCTACAGTCTCAAAGAAAATTCTCTCTTCACACTGACTATCTCTTTCTCCCTGTTTCTCTCTCACACACCCACAATAAACAATTCTCTCTCTCTCACTCACACACAAACACACGTACACACACTCACACAAAAACAATTCTCTCACTCTGTCTCTCTCTATTTGTCTTGCTATCTCTCATCTTGCTGCGTTGTCTTTCATAACCCTTTCCTGAACGCTCAAACGTCCCCCCTTTCGTTTTCATCTAGGCTTCTCATTTTCTCCCTCTTTCTCCCTCTTTCATTGTTGTTTTCACTCATCTATCCCTCTTGCTCTCACACCAAGAGGTCTTCACTGCTCTCTTATGTCTGTCCCTGATGTCCTTCCATATTTCTTCCTCACTCTTTCTAGCATCTCTCCACTGAGGCCCAAGCTCCTTTGGCCCCCTCTCTTAATCCCTCTTTTTCATGCTCTCTCTCTCTTGATCAGCTCTATGAAATGTATGACCTCCTTGCATGCAGGGCGAAGCATGCTAAAACCCCATTAGTTTGAGTCCTGGGTACAAGGTCATTTTTAACCATATGAAGGAAAAAATGACGGCTGCTGCTGTTGATAATGCAAGGTTGTCTGTAGATCATTAACCCTTAGAAGTCATCGTTATGGCCTGTGATAACTACAGCTTGGTGTAATTTTAGGTGAACTATTCCTCACTTGTAATTCATTGGAACAAGCAGAGAAATTCGGTTGAAACTTTCAATCAATACTATAAACATTCTTTACCGTTTTGCTGTGTTTGTCATTTTTTGACATCTAAACTAACAGAATTGTGTAGATGCAAACTTGTCTCTAAAATAAAACAAGAGTAAATAAAATTATTTGACCTTTCCATGTTTGGCCCTCAAACATGTGCTTTCGCAGCAACAGCTGCTAGGTTGGACAAGCCTTAAGGAAAGATGGAAAAGATCATATTCAATGTAAAGAGAAATTGTAGCAATTTTTGTTTAGATTCACTCCAAAACATTTAAAATGACACATTGTTGAGTT